GCAATTCCTTCATAGCCAAGCCGCACCAGCGAGCGTTTCCTGGACCGTATGTGCCAAAAGCGTCCTTGCATAGAGCTCGCACTGAGGCCCTTTGCACAGCAACCACAAAGCGGCCCGGGCACTGGGAGCCAGTGCTTGTTATAATAAATATCACATCCGCGCACCACTGATTTGTTCAGAGACATTTGATGTTTCATATGGTACGATGCAAAACGATGATCCAGGAAAAAACGACGACTTGCCCATTTTTTTTGGAGCTGTGCATGTCTTCTTTCATCTGTTTTAACTTTTACATGTTTGTTTGTGTTTCCCACTCAAGCTCCAGTCTTCCACTTTCTGGATGCAAGGATCAGACATGATGAAGTGTCTTCACTCTTTGCACACTGCACAACCAGGCCGGCTGGTCGATAAGGGACAGACCCAACTACTAGTAGTGCAATGTTCCTTTGTACACTGCATGGCCAGGCTAGCTGGTGGACAATCGACAGACCCAACTGGTGCTATGTTCAGGCTTGGGGCACAAACCTGGTCATAGCAACGGCCAGGTTCATGCTTTCATATCATGAACATAGCAGCAATAGGCCCTGGCCCTAGCAGGCTGGGATGCAATGGATACGCTTGCGCACCGCCTGGGAAACACATCTTCAGTTGCATGGGTGTGATCTAAACTTCTAAAGTGGTGTTTTGATTGGTCTAGGTGCAATCCTGTGCTGCTTCTCATTTTGAATCCGAAGGTTGCATGGCTAGCACCACCAGAACCCTGTCAGCATTGCCACACACAGTTCAAGAGGAAATGGGCAACGAGCACTTCTATTCCCTGCAGAAATCACGCCTGCATCGGATGGCAGTGCAGGCGTACAGATCTGAGTCAGGCGCAATCAGCTTTCCGAAAATGTCAACAAAAAAAGTGCAAGCAAATGGTATGTTGCACTGCATGAAGAGAGGGTCATATTTGCACATTCTGCAAAGTTGTGCTTTCTCTGCAATTGACATCAATGCTTGGTGCTTCCAGCATAGTGTTCAAGGTGGATAGACAGAAACAACGGCGTCCATCCTGAAATGCATAGCGAACCCGTTTCAATCCACTGTTGACACGAGGTTCTATCCCCAGTTGTTATTGCCTTAGCAAGCGTGACCCCTCTCTTTCCCATGTCTGCCTTTGCCCTTTCCTCTGCTGAAACTTGCAGTCCACAATACTCTGTCACCTCACACGTCTGGTCCCTCCTGCTAGTGCTTCCATCCACTCTGTACAGCACAGACCATAGCCCCACTCCTTCCTTGCATCTTTGTCTCCTATTGTTCCAGTGTCCCATTTGGGCACCATTCCATTGCCTGACACTTTCCTATGTTGGATCCCCTTAACATGTCCTTGTTGAGGTCAGACCTCAGCTCCTCCTTTATATCCCAATAGGCTTTTCTCGACTGCCGGCTTTATGCTTTGCCGGGTTTTTTTTTTTTTTTTTTTTTTTTCCACCACCGCAGTGCAACGGGTAACAGCTCTGATACCAGTGCAATGAACCTCACAAAATCCAACTCAAAATACAACATGCAATTTGAGAGCATTTAGATAGAGCCCACACAAGCTTGAGCTATGGCCACGAACAGTGCCCATTCGAAGTTCCACTCGAAAACAATAATATACAATTTAAGAAGTTCGCAACTTAACGGTCTGAACCGCTGCAACTCGACTCCGGTAAGTGCCCGACTCTCCCCCTCTCCGATCTGCTTCTTCCCTCTCTCTCTCTCTCTCTCTCTCTCTCTCTCTCTCTCTCTCTCTCTCTCTTATTCTCTCTCTTTCTCTCTCACTATACTGCACTCCTCACCCTTGATGCTCCCCACTACTGTTCCTCTCTTCCCTATGTCCTAGATCTACCCTGAATGCCTCCTGCGGTGTGCCTCTCCACAAACGGGCGGCTATGACCGCCGAGCACTGTGTCTCCCCTCTCCTGGCTATGGTGGTCTTTCGCAGCCAGGGGGCGCTGGTCTTCTTCTCCCTTCAACGCTATTCTTCGTCCAGGTCACTAGTTCGCACAAGCTCCAGCAGCGCTTCCACAAATTTGCGAAATGAACAACTGACCCCTTCTGGCACTGTAGTCCAAGATATATAGTTGCAGTGGACTGTTTCATGCCTGCTTCAGTCGGTACTGGCCTCTTTTGGCCTCTGCCTTGCCAAATTGCTATTTTGGGAAAGTTCCCAACTTTCTTGTGAGGCTGCTGCAAAATTGTACTTTTGGGGACTTGGCATGCTCCTACAGTACTGTACAGTGCTGTAGACTACTGGCCTGCGCCGCCTGATCCTACAGGCCTTAAGATTCTAATCAACAGGGGCCTTGGACTCGGATTATGTATGAAACTGTAACCGGGACTGGGAAAGCTTGCAGTGTGAATCCATTCAATTACCACCATCACATGACTCCTCCCGTTTCTGCTTCTAACCTGTGTCTTACTTGCGGCGCACTTAAGCGGTGCGCCGTGCTCCACTGCTCTCCACATGCACAAAAGACAAAAATATGGTGGTGGATCTTCCCATGTTCTAGCGGAAGATTCATTCTCATTTTGCACATTTGGAGAGTGGTGGAGCGAGGGCCATACAACGGTAGCTTGGGGCCTCCCTCCACCACTCTCCAAATGTGCAAAATGAGAATGAATCTTCCGCTAGAACATGGAAAGATACACCGCCATATTTTTTGTCTTTTGTGCATTAGTGGAGCGAGGCCCTTGCAGTCCTCATGTGACAGAGGCACTACAACGGACGCATGCAGTTGAGGCCCTACGGATTCTGGCGGCAGGTAAGTTGTAATAGGGCCTCACTCGACTACTCTCCAATTTGTGCAAAATCAGAATGAGTCTTTCGCTAGAACATGGAAAGATACACGACCATATGTTTTGTCTTTTGTGCATGTGTATAGCAGCTGCATGTTTCCACGTTGATGTTTCCACGTTGTTGGTTTTCAACTCGTCACGGATGTTCTCTTTCTCTTTTTTTTTTAATAGCAAAAGCACCAAGGAAACAGAACTGTCAGTTCTTTCTTTTTTTTTATCTGGAAGTAATGAAAGGAAAGCAACGGTTCCACAGACGCATCCTCATCATGACCGTATTGGACCTCGGAAAGGACTCAGATACATTGAATATAGCATGGATTGTGTACAGCAAGCATGACAACACAGTTTTTGGGGCAGCGCAGCCCTGAAAAACAATTTCCCGGGCAATGTCCTAATTTTCGCTGGGCGTGGGAACTTCTATTCACCCCCTCCCCAACTAGTGCCCCGCATGTGTGCGAGTGGCGCGCACGAGATGCGCCGCAAGTATGTTTGTGTCCATAAAGTCGATAGACACGGAGTCACCTGGACCGGACGGGACAGGTAGTGGTCTCAACAGACCAAGGGGGGACAGTGTGGAACTTCTGTTTTGCTGACATACTTGACAGCCCTGGATATAGGCAATGCAATCGTGCTTCATGCCGACCCAGGTGTAGGATCCGAGGAGATTAGCGTACGTCTTTCTCCAATCGAAGTGGCCCTCAGTGTCATGGCAGTCTCTCAAGACTAGATTTTTGATGGTCTCATCAGCTTCCCTATGGGCGGCTTTGGCCGCTGGTACTCCTAAATCACTACCCTGGCTATGGAGTATCCCTCAAGCGCCTTCTTCCTCCTCCAGCCGCAAAGTGCCCAAGTTGCCTCAACGCACAAGCAGCAGCAGCGCTTCTGCAACTTGCAAATGAACAAGTGGTCAGCCGCTGTACTGTGGCAGCTAAATATAAAGCTGGACTTAGCTTGGCCTGCTTCAGACCAGTACCGGTCGGCCGCGGCCTGTCTGCTGCAATCATGTCGTCGGTCCGGTTGCTTCCGGACTTCCCTGGGACATGCTGCAAAATAGGACTTGGGACTAGACTGGACCGGGTACCCGGACTGACTTCTACAACCTGTGACGCTTCGGTACCAACAGCTACAGGCCTACGACACTTCAACCTACGGACCTAGGACCTAATGGGACAGCCTGGGATCGAGACCATCTGGGACTGGTCCCAACTGGTACTGGGAAAATTTGGGACCCTTCGACCAGGACTTGGGTTGTCTGCAGCGTGAATCCTTTCAGTTAAACCACCACTCCATCCGGATCTATTTTTCACAAACCAAATGTTGCATGTCCCCGAGCCTAAAATCGACAGTGCCGCCTTGAGGAAAAATAATTGTGGTACCCCTCCCCACCGAACCTCTACCGGGGCTGGGCATTGTAGATTTGGCCCGGTACTTGTAGACAAAGAAAAATGAACAGCGCAGGGGGTGTTGGAGAGGTGGTTTACGAACTAAAGGCTTCTTTCTAGCTTAATCCCTGTGGACTCACTTTCCGAACGGAACCTTAGCTAGTCCCCGAGCTTCCACTCTCAGCAGCCTGCTCCGTCTTCTGCTCAGTTTCCAGAGACGGTCTACTGTTTAACATGTGAGGAGGCAGTCCTAAAAACATCCACTAATCCCCCTTCTCATCTTCATTTCTCCTCCTCCGCCGCCTCCTGCCTCTCCTCTTCTCGTTCATGCTTCTACCAATTCCAGCACATGCTGTAAGAGCAACTCCACACTTCTTCCCTTCTCCTCCTAGTTCCAGCTCACGACACCCCTCAGTATTTGAGGGTTGGAAGTAATAATTAGTAACTACAATACTACAATTCTAACATGCATGTGCAGTTGCACTTGTTTTTCTAGTAATGTGAAATGTTTCGCTGGCAAAGGTAGAGCAAAAGGGATCAGCAAAGGAAAAAAATGGCGAAACAATCTGATTAACAACAATGAAAAAGCAAGAGAGAATTGAAAAAGCAGAAGAGCGGGCAATGGAGAGGGGATGACGCGCAGACAGAAGATAGGTAGAAACAGAGAATGAAGCAGGAAACAGATGGAGACACAAAAACAACAACGAGGATGATGGTACCGTCTCATGTTGCTTAATGGTACACAAACGTTAGTGAACAGAAGGAATTCTGGTTATGAGTGGAATGTTACCCCACCTCCTTGAGTTCCCGTATCGCGAAAACAGAGTAAACAACGTCGCAAGGGCGCCATCATTTACAAACTGAATAACATGAGCTGTGTGAAAGGGTGTCTTCAATTTTCCCAGCAAGCCTGATCCTGTTGACTGCCCCTCCACTCCCACACACACATGCAGCCAGCACTCCCGAAGTGGCCAGAGGGCCTCACATGTTGAAACACTCGTTCAATTTGCTCCCGCAATCTCTCATCAGATTCCACACTCTCCTCTCCCACCAAGTCAATTCCATTTCCACTCTATCTGTTGAAACAAGCAGTTCAAGAAACATCAGCAATGCCAAGGACCTTTGCAACAAAGTGTGCAATATCAAGTGCAAGAACGACAGTTCTGCTGCTTCAATAATGGAGAAAGAGTACACCCATCAAACCAGCTGAGCGGAACACCAACCAGGACTCTACATCTACTGCCACGGCACACCAGAGGACATCGAGCCCTTATGTCCAATATCCAAGGGCGAAGAAATGAAAAGAAATAGACCACCTCAAAGTCCAAGCCCTAAGGATAAAATTCTAGAGATCGAAAGTTCACATGACACCAGTTTTTCCCACGACCATCTTCACCCAAATGGAATGCATGACAGTAACCAGTGAAACTTTCTGTCTCGATACAGCAGTAATGGCCAGGCATTCTGTTCGGGTTAAGTCAGCAGGAAAAGATGAAACATCAAAAGATCCACTCCCAGGAAACTGAAGAATCAATGCCTCAACACTGCTGAAAAATAGTGTTGCCGTGGAGAACGTTGTGAAGGAGAACTGAAGAATCAATGCCTCAAATTGCGTTGATCCCACGTTGCCAACACTGTGCTGCCATTGAACAAGGCTAACTTTAAAGGAGGTCGAATCCAAGGAGCTTCCCAATGAAAAGAGATTATCTAGGGATTGTCTACTACACCAGCACCGAGGTTATGGGAGTCTGGCATAGATTTGGGCAAAGAGAGCATTGATTACAAAGACGAGGCTCAAGAGCCAAAGACTTACGCTTTTGGGCATTGAACTTTTACGTTCCTAACCAAACAGGGCGTGAAGGCGCCCAAAAAGCGTGCATGTCGAGAAGCTGAGCACATGCACACAACAGCAAAAGGTGATTCCAAGGCTTTTTCAAGGGCCGCAAGACAACCTAGCTACTACGCAGGAAGCAGTGCACCTGCCCAGCTTCTTGATGCAGGGGAGAGCGCTCAGGAGGCTGTCAGCTGTATCAGCGGGGCCAGGTAACCTGCTATCGGAGCCCTTGGAACCACACCCCTGCTCATGAGATGGAGAAAAGTGAGTGTCTGTGCACGGCAGAGAAAATCAGCCATAGGTGACGATATGACGTCAGATGGGGAAGAAAGGAGCAATAGCGACAGAGGGAAGGACCTCGGGACCAACAGGACAGGTCCCAGTAATATTGGGACTAGTCCACAATGAGTGCGCACATCATGGACTGCAGTAGGAAGGAGACCTGGACGCCACTAGGAGCCTTCGCGAGGCCTTGGAAGACACAAAGGCGTGAGGAAAATAATTGGAAGAAAAGTTAAATAAAGGCAGATAGCCGCACATGGGGAGGTTCGGGACAAGGACCGGGACTATGGAAGAACGGTAAGGAGGAACGGGTCCCCGACACAAGGCGGCGAGCAAAGTGGCAATGGCCTGCAAAAATGGGGCATCAAGGCGAGTCAGTAGACGACACTAAGTAAAGTGTCAAACTTGGCAGAACCACCTGGGACGTTCAGAAGCTTCCAAGAAATACAAAGTTGGGATGGGGCCAAGGAAAAAATAATTAAAGCAGTCAAGAATGAGGAGTTAGCATCGACCCACGTGGCACAAGTGGGCCCATGAAATGGCTAGTCCACTTGGCCTAGTACAAGTGAGAGTTGTCCTACGAAGTTCCGAAAAAGGAAGGGCCTAGAAAAATCAAGAAAACAGAGCCCTTTCCTAGGAGAATGTGTCAGTTGAGGGAAATTGGGGCAGGTAGGGGGCCCTGCTCCAGTTAGGACTCGATGGGCTGCAGAGAGGAGGTCGTTCGAGGGCCTAAACTACGAAAAATAGGCCTTGGTAAATTATGAGGTACAACAGACTGCAAATGTGGGGAGGAGCTCTAGTTTTTTATGCATCCGGACTATGAAATCTGTCTGGATGCATCCTAGGATGAAACGGACAACAAAGCATTATTTTTGGGAGTGTCCAGGTACAACGCATCTGAAAAATGTGTATCTAGAGTGGTCCGAAGTAAAACGAGAATTGGGGAAGGAGGAAGGGCAAAAACTGAAGCAATGACAAGTCGAGACATCATGGCCAACTTGTCCTTTCTCACAAGGTGTCTAGGTCAATGTACACGTTAGAATCAAGACTAGGTGCAGTTGGGGCAAAAACGAACAATAACAGGTACCTAGGATGAGGCAAAACACATATTTCAGATACGCGTGGAGTCTGGTTTCATCCTAGGATGCATCGGACACAAAAGGTTTAGTTTTGGGAGGGTGTAGATACAGCCCAAAAAATAGCCTTCACACTAGTCCGAGCTACAACGGATTGAAATGGTCAACACATGGGGAGGAAAAGACATGTTTTAGATGCATCTGGAGCAAAGAAACATTCTGAATCATACCTGCGGTGCAAGTGTGTGGTGCGCCCGGTCCGGTGCGCTGGTCACCGATGCACGGAAAAAAAAAAAAAAAA